TGAATAGAACTGGAAAGAACTGGATAAAAGCTGGAAGTTAGGATTGAGTCACCTCCTTATCATTAAACTATACAATCCGGCTTTTATGATTTACAGGACTGTGGGTGAGGTGCAGTAAACCTCTCCCACTTTATCATTTTTCTCCCTCCTACAGGGAAGGAGGGAGAACAAATGCTGAGGATTGTGAGTAAACACTTGTGGAGCCACATTCACTGTTAGAGTTGAAAGCACGACTGACCATTATGAGCATGTCAGACGCCGAAGGCTGAACCGCTCTCCTGAACGCATTGTGCACGTCTACGATCTCAGCCTGAACCATTGCATTTTGTGGGCAATCGTCTGCAGGAGCACACACACACACAGACATTAAAAATCAATGTGTAAACACCGGATTACAGACATAATAAGGAGTGGTATTTACTCCTGTGGTTTAATATCCATGATATGACTCACAAACATATCCTGGTTTAATTGCTCTAAAATGACTCGACATACAAAAAGAATACACAGAGAGAACTGGGCCAAATGCATTAATCTTACGGGGAGACTTACTGGCACAGTTTCAGATGATGATTAAAAAAAAAATACTTTTGCAAACATGCCTAATGCAATTTTCACAGTGCTTACCTGGCTGTGGACACACCATGGAAGGTAGCATTTGAAAATGAAAGGAAAAAGTTAATTTCTCATAAATGAAACAGACTAAAAATGCTAATTCTACTTGTTGTAGCTATTTTAATGCTGTTATTAGTTTGTTTGTTTGTTTTTTATCAGTTTCATTCACTGCTCTGTCAGTGAAGTTTATAGACAATTAACACTATAAAACCTTTGATGAGTCCCAGTTGTCCCCCAAAATATGACTAATAGTGGAGAACTGTATCCTTGTGCATCATTTGTCTTGCCTGAAAAACTTAATTCAACAGTACCAAGTGAATGAAAATAAAGAATATTTTTTACTAAACTCTGCTGAGGACTCACAGAACAAAAAAGAGGTTTTAAATTCTAAAATATACACTTTTCAGCCCATGCAAAATTCTTGCAGTATATGATAACATAGGTCACATTACTGTGTAGTAGAGAAGAAAGCTTTGCACTTCTACTCACCAAAACACATGCTGAGTGCACCTGATGCACTGCCACGATGCAAATGAGGAATGCTAGCATTTTCTCTGAGAACAATAAAACAAAACAAAAATCATTTTTTTCTTTTGATCCATGATGCTTTTAAACATTGTTGCCATTTTTAATTTCTGTGTAGTTTTTGTAGCTTGCCATTCATCCATGAAATAAGTAAGATATTCCTAGAATATATATATTATTATATATTATATCATATATAATATATATTTATATGCTATAGCTTTGGTTATATGATATATAACAGAAACTATAAAAATGCTTAGATCTTACATACCTGCTCCTAAGTCCTCAGGACAATGAGGTGAGTTGGCACTTTCCTCTGCCTCCTTATATAGATCCATGTCAAGTACTCAGTACACTGGATATTGTACAAAGACAAGTCTGTCACACTGCATTAAAGGCGCCCTTTCTTCAACAGAGTACACCTGACTGCGAGTAAATGGGGAATTGTTAATCCCGAGGGTTTAGCGACTACCTGATGTATTGACCTGTGTTTACACAGCATAGACTGGAACGGTTTCTGAGGTCAAAGCAAATAAGGAATACTGATACTGATGGATTAGAAGATAAAGTTGTATGCTTTTATATAAAAAAGGATTAAAGCTGTACAGCTTGGGTGGGCTAAAGAGGTGCTCATAACTTGCACTTGCACAAAATGCAATACATTAAAAGATTAATTCACAACGGCATGCAGGAGTGGGAACCAGCAGATCATTAAGGCAAATTCAGTTGTACAATTCACAATGATATTATTTTAACCAAAACTACAAGTGACAAAGACTGCTTTTTGTGAAAAAAAAACCTCTCTAAACTAAAAGTAAGTAAGTTTAAAAAGCTACACTAATCAATTTAAGATCAGATCAGTTTGTCAAACAGAAAAAGCATTTGCATATGCAGAAAAAAGTTTTTTTTTCTCCTAATATTTTTCTGGGGATGAAATCAAGAAACAAACTGTGTGAAATGAGTAGCTTACACTGTTGTTTACACTGTTAGGGACTATACATAGGCAAAGTAGAAATGTTATCTTGGAGCAACATTTCTACTATTCACAGCAGAGCACAATCTTTTTTGTCAGTTCTTCATTGCATGTTTGACTGTACAAAAAGCATTATGCTGCTATCACCCTTATGCTTAATGCATTACTTTTCTCTTTGTTATGCAGAACAACGAATTGCTGGACTCAGTAACACTGGTTACTCAGTATCACTGAAACTGGGAGCACTTTTCAAAATGAAGTGTAATGCGTAAGAGAAAATAGGCTTTTTAAACAATTGGGTAAAACTAAGTGGCTGTTGCATGGGTAGAAGACAAACCTACCAAATTCAAGGTCCTGTATGGTAGAACAAGTGGCCTTTTGACTTTTAATATCATCATAAATGCTGATGTTAGCATCCTAAGGGGATTAATTAAGACAGGCAGGATGTATTTTTCTAGTTGATTTTATTTCAGTCTTTAGCAACCTATCATTATTAAAGGCAATAGCCTGTCCAAGGTGCACCCTGGACGGACAATCATTCATACTTACATTCACACCTACAGCCATTTAGAGTCAGCAGTTAACCTCCTGAGCGAACCTTCCCCATTGTCAGCTGGAATAAAATCCAGCCACCTGCAACCCAAAGTTGAGTAAGAGAATATGGATGTATGACAATGAGATGTATTAGAGTTAAGGTGGCATGACAGCTTACTGCTAACCACCTGGCTTCCCCTGGTGTCTGTGCATGGAAAAGTAATAATTAATCTTATGAGGTTTACTTTATGATAAATAAAAGTTAAATAAAAGGAAGGAGGATGTAAATGTGTGCATATACATCAAATAAACCAATCATTCACTGATTTCCGTAACTACTTATCCAATTCAGGATAAGTCCTGGTGTGTTTTTGTGTTCCACAAGAAAAGCTGCTCTCATTTATGAAATTTTTAGTTACTTAATGCTGACATGCTACAATCTGAAAATGTGGGTGTTTAGCATCATTACAGTCCTGTAAATCATCAGTTTGATGTGGTGATGGTGCTAGAGCCCCGAGATAATCAGTTCAAATCACTGTTTATTTTGTAGCAACTTTTGGATACCTTTTAAGAAACAGGTCATTTTGACAGGTTTGAAAACTGAATGTTACACAGCCTTATATAACAGACGTTTTGTTTGATAAAAAAAAGTAGAGCCTCCCACAGTATAATACTGCCTTTGAGCCCGGTTGTTTTGTAGCGACTTGCTTTTCGGCACAGTCACCAGTTTTTTATTTCTGTGGAGATGTGTGGAACTAGTTCTTGCACTGGCACTGCATTAGCAGTAAAGAGGCACTGGCACTGCAGCATCTTAAGGAGTTGTCCACACATTTCACACAGACAGGAAGACAAAGGGTTTTAAAAAAAAAAACACCCCACTTATAGCAACATAGCTCTCTAACTTTTCAATTACATGTAGTTCTTGTTCTTTTGAGTTTGAGTGCACTTATTGAAGTCACTTTTGACAAATGGGTCTTGCGGATGAATGTAATTTAATATAATGATGGTCCCTACTACATTTCATAGGATTCCATAATAGCTACCCATATTTTTCACTGAAAAATACAAATGTCAACTCCAAGGTGATTCGAAAGGAAAAGCCAAAATCATTCTTCTTTACCTTCACGGTCCTGTGGGTTTTTATACATTTTGTGATAATCCACCTGATGTAAATGTATAAAGCGTGAATTAATTTAACATCTAATAGTTTCTAATGTTTTTCAGCGTGAACCAAAGTGGTAGACTGACTAAAAATCAGCACTGCCATTCTGAAAGCTGTGACACCAACGTGGCTTTACGCTTTAATGAAATCAAGTTTGCTGCGAGTTCAAACAATGATGTAAGCTATCTTTAAAGAGTGAGACATGTGACGTATGGATACCCAGTTATACAAACTGTAAAGCAATTGTTCAGTCAGAAATACAAACTTCACTCAGTTTGCTCTCTGCTGTCAGTGGCGATAAGTATTCATACAATGATGGATTGAATGGGAGTAGTTCTTCCTGTACCACTGGCATTGTGTACATCCAGAAATGCATATGTCCTTGAAACATAAGGTCTTCTCATGAAGTAAGAATAAAAGCATGCCATTTAAAGTAATAGTAGCCATTACAGAACAGAAGCAGCTGCAGACGGACACCCTGGGCAGAAAACTGACAGCCTAATGAGGTGTGGCTCTGTGGAAATGTGCAGGAAAGGCTCAAGTCTGTCTTGATTTTAGAAGGAGAAAAAAGGCTACTGGATGCTTTCACTCTGCAGAAAAGTCTGTACAGCCAACATGTAAGAAAAAAAAGAAAAACATACAATGATCAGTTTTATTTCTGCATTATACATTTTTTTATTATTTATTATTATTTATTATTATTTATTTTTTAAATTATTATTATTATTATTATTATTATTATTATTATTTCTGAATTATACATTTGTAACATGTACATTTTTGACATATCTTACAACAGCCCACCGTGCACTGACTGAATATCTTACAGCAGCCTTCATCCATGTACATGAATATGTTTGTTTTTGAAAAAGATCTCTGGTGAGAGTACTAATGCCTTTTCACTAATCTTAAGCATTGCAATACTTTAGCACATAAACCATGTTATAATGTAGTCATTTAGTACATTTGTCTTATGATACGGCTTCAGGAGTCTTGCAGTCAAAGAAAATGAAATTGTTATCTGCATATCTATATTAAACAAAAGGTCAAATTTGAGTCAAGCTTGTCTGTGCGTGTGTTGCTGGTGTGCTGTCTTTTTTGACAAATTAGGTCAAGTGTATGGCAAAACAGTCTGTAAACATAGCTGTGTAAAAGCATACAAAAAGAACAATTACACTATTGACACAAAATCCTTTACTTATCGAGCTAACAGGTTTATTGAGCTAAAGGGCAGAAGATATTTAATGACTACAGACACAATCCCAGAAATACAACTGACACACTGTACGACCAGGTGAACACAGCCCCCAGATCATGTGCAATAATATATCAAGAACAAATGCACATTAAGAGCAATCGTTCTGACAGAGAGAGCATTTTTGTGCCTTTAAAACTGACTTAAACTGTCTGCACAGGAGGCAGTTCTAATGATTTCAGGTTCTTCTGTGGAAAAAGTGGCAGCATAATTTACAGGCTTTTTCCAAAATACTGTTCTGACTCTGGGGGCAAACATATGTAAAATATTGAGAGAACAAAGGCCATACTACTGACTGTGTTACACGTGCATTTATACAGATATGACAAAAACAAAACAAGACAAAAACCCAGCCCATGCTCAGACTGACGGTCAGAGGAGGTAAGTAACGAAGTACAATTACTTTATTACT